TTACCATTATACAGACAATATACCAACTATATTGCTTTTGCCATGAAATTAAAGACTTAATATCATTAAGACCCTGAAAAACTATTGATAGATTAAAAATTTAATCAACTTAAACAATAGTTATAGTTCTTAATGGCCAAAATAACAATTAAACCCTTAATGTCTCTAAACAGGCCAAGACAATAATTATAGCACTTAATCACTCAAATTAGGCTCATAAACCTCAATGGCCCAAGTGAATTATAACATGGATGAAAAATGGTCTAATACTGAAGTAGACCCAAAACTTAATATTATTACCAACAATGAATACCAAAATATGGTAGATAGTAATAATTAAAACTTAATAAACATGTTATAAGATGCTGTAATTATTTTTTAAATTTAAATATCAATCAAAATGATGGGATTCATACTTTAATGACCCAAGATAGGTCTCAAATAGCTTGTTCAAAATAGGTTCTAAAGTCCCAGAGACACATAAAACTAAAATGTAATCAAAATTAAGGGGAAACCAAAACAAGCTACCTTAATAGGCCATAATGTCTAAAATTGGCCTAAGGATCTAAAAATTGAATGATATTTAATAATAAATTTATGAGTTAATAATATGCTAAATCCAACTTTAATGCATGCTATTATGAATGTATAATTATAATAATGAAATAATTATAAATATACGTAGCATCCTTAATTGGATTTACATATTAATATATTATTAACCCATATATCCTAAATAAATTGCAATACTTTAGGCAATTAAATGTAAACCTCAATATTAAATTAAAATTCAAATAGCAAATTTAAAACTTAATATTTGCCAAAAAGTGAATAATAATTTAATAAGAAATTCAATGTCAAAATTAAGGAAACTATAAGGCATCATCCAAAAACAAGCAATTATCATATTTTTACCATTTGCCAAAACAAATTAAATATTAATTAAGATAATATTAATATGGTAATTTGAGACTAAATAATTACCATGTATCCTAATTAATATGTAATATATTAACTAAAGCAAATGAATATGGTAAAAAAAAAAATAAATATATTGCATTTGAATATGGAATTTGCGTACGGCTTACGATACAGACCTTTGTGTCTTCCTGGAATGCCGCATGCCAACGCCGGACAAAGCTTGACAAACAACGACCAGCGCCGGCGACAGCCTGCAGCACGGAGCACCATCCTCCACCGTTGTCCACGTACGCTGCCCGTCGCCGCCCGCCGCCGGTGACTCCAAGTCACGCCGTCGTTGTTACCGTAAAAAATGGAGACCGTAACCGGCGACAAAATCCGGCGATTCTCCTCCCATCAGCAAGGCTCACACACTGGAGAATCCGTCAATATTCCTTTGTAGCCCATGAACCAGTGGCCGTCGTTCATCTCGCACGTAGTCCGGAGTCCAAATACCGGTGATTCTCGTAGTTGTTTCCCGGCAGAAAAATTTTGAGATTATAAAAAAACCGAAATTATAATTGCTTAATAAAATAATTTTCAGCAGTCCAAAAATCATATACAAAATCTTGATGTATATGAAAAATTAATATTGTTTTTAGGCAAAAATAATCGACCAGACAGAGATTGATAAAGGCTCTGATACCAAATGTTAGATATACAATAGTCTAACTATATGTACCATAGTATACGAGAAACCTAACCTCGTATGATAGCGGAAGCGTAGCCGTGTTGATCTCCAGCCATAGTTGATGTTCCTGTTGTGTTGCCTCTGGACGGTAGACCGTCAGCCATGTTTTGCCTTTGACTCAGAACCCTAGATGGTGTATTGGTATCTACTGAGCGGTCTGAGTACCGTAACTGAATGTGCTAACAACAACCATCCTGTATCCCATCAATACAGGATTATATTAGGCACAGAGTTTGGTTGACTAACAACTACTAGTTATTAAGTCCAACCACACCACTTAATAAGCCTAATCAACTTGCACCAAGGCCCTAATATATAATATATAATATATATTATTAGGGAAAGTCTTACATTATCACGTTTGGAGTTTTTTGATTTATTGCTTCCAATAATTAAGATTTTATGCTATGCTCTTATTTGTAAATTTTGTTTCATAAATTTTTATTAAAAATTACTTTATTATTTATTATAATAATAATGTGATACTCTATGAGCTCATTTGGTTTTAAATTATTTATTCGTTTTTTAAACTATAATTCTTTATTTATTAAAGCATTAATGCCAGTATTGATTATTTTGGATTTAAGAAGGCATTTAGAATTGTTTTCATGTGTATGTATAATTGTTCAAAACTTGTGAATCTTATTTCAAGTTATTTTTTGTGTAAACTACGAGATAGTCCGAGTCTTTCTCTATCCGTTTAACGGTCCATGTCATCTTATTTCAAGTTATTTGACATTAATATTTTTTTCTCTTATTTAATTTAAATTTTAGTTATATATATATATATATATATATATATATATATATATATATATATATATATATATATACATATATATATATATAGGGCCCATTTTTTTTGCTACGCCTTGGGCCTATAAAATGATAGGACCGGCCTGCTTTGAGGTGGCGGTGTCCATCTTGTTAATCTTGAATGGGGGCTATGTTGATAAGGGTGAATAACGGTGAATGATGAATGTTTGAAGGATGGAAAATGCAAGCTGTTGAGTTGAAATGAAAATGATGATGCAGGTTGTTGAAAATGAAAAATGAATTGGTTGTGGATTAGGCATGTGAGCAATGTGAAAAACAGGAGGGGGCTGGTTAATTATATTACTGGGGGTGGAATTATGAGAAGTACTAATTTTTGTTAAACTAAGATATAATTTAACTAGAAGTGATAGAAATCTGCATCCATTATTCGAGGATGTGTATTGGATAATCTTCGTCTTGTGATCTAAGTCGACTTTTGCATGAATTGAGACAGTTGATAAATATAGTGGACCCCCTATAGTATTTCCTGTATATAATCATGGAATAGCTACTTGGGCCTGAGAATTTTGTGTCTTTGGGACTAGGGTTTTGAAATGCACCCATTCCATGTGTAGATATATCTATTTTGCAGAATCCTCATGTGGTTGGCTTCCACCCCCCTCCCCCCTAACTCTATACGTGTTGACTAACAACGTTACCGTGTAAGTACTACAGGGTTTAATGATGGGGATTTGGGCACCGGGATGTAAGGGGATGCACGACGGGGTTACCTACGACGCGTATACAATACTAGAAGTCCTATGTGGTTGTCGAAATATTGCCCGTAGTTGGGCGTTGTTTTAAATCACTAGCCGGACGAGTCGGTGGATTTGACATCAGGCAAAGTACTGTTAAACGAGATCGTGCCGGTGAAATTAGTATGCGTTATTTAGTGTGCTGCAGACAAGGAGCCAAAAGGAGGTGGTAGGAGTAAACCCACACTCAAAGATATTGTTGGTAGTGGTAGAAACAGGCAACGACGGAGAAGGATTTTTGACAGGGTTGGTAATGGTAACAACATGCAGCCTCTCGAATACATCTCCGAACAATCTCGATTTGAGCCTAAGCTGATTTCTAAGTTGGTTCAGTTATGAACTGTCACGTAACCAGCTCTATAAATAAATAAATAAATAAATAATCAATAAAAAGAAAACCAAAGGTAATGGAACTTTCAGCAGGCTAGTAGTCAAGTACAGAAAGTCAAAAACTGATCTTATCAACTTAGGCTAAGAAATACTTGGGGAAGAAAGAGAGTGAGAGATTTAAAAGGCTTCACTTTTGTATAATTGTGTTCAGATCAGAGAAGATTTAGCAAGAAAGGACTGAGGAAAGAAAGAAAATGCAGGCACAACTGAATTTTCTGTATTTTATACAATGAATAAAATTGATGGGGATATCATGAAAGCTTGGGGACTAGAGGTTGAGTTTGGGAAAGAAAGGAGATGGTTGTACCGAATTCTACTTCCTTTAGGCATCAAGATACCTAAAAGAACTGCGGGACTTGTGATGGGGATATGGGACCCGGGGGTCCATTTTATTGGAAGGTATGGACCCATGTTGGGGTGGTGAAGGAAAGAGGTTGGCCCAAGTCTTATTGGGCTAAGGGGACATGGTGACCCAAAAAGGCACAAAGGAAGAGAGAGAAGGGGTTTTAGGGGAGAAACCGCCGGCGGCGGCCGGCGATTGACCGGCGTGGTGGCCGGCCGGACTCCCGGAGGCGATGCGCCTCCTGTCGTCCCGGCGGCGCCCCACCACCGTGGCCAGTGAAGGCCACTGGCCATGGCCATGGGTAAAAGGCTACCAAGGCGCTACGCTGTCAGCAGGGTTCGAACCCGCACCCTCAAGCACACCTGGCGCGCGCCATACCACCAGCCCACGTCAACTCTTGTGTACCAAGGCGCAACAACATATATTAGTTCCTATATTTGCGGCTGGCAGCCTCCATCACCGGCCATGACCGGCCGTTGGCCGGCCGGCGACTGGCCGGCGCCGGGTCCCGCCGGCCACCTCAGGCCGAGGCGCGGCCAGCGGGGGCAGTGCGCCCCCCAGATTGTTAACGGCACCCCCCCCCTTCCCGGGGGGGGGTGCTGGGTGGGTGCACCGAGCATGGTGGACCGGGTGGTATGCGCGGGAGTTTTAGAAGTATGGCGAACGTGCCCGCTTGCGTAGCGATAAATGGGGAAGTGGGGATGAATTGCATGGGACACGTGGACGCTAGAGGAGGAGGGGGGCTTGCTATAAATAGGGGCCCTGGATCTCTGGCTAGGGGAACACAGACACGACAGACACCCTGGTCTAGTGGTCTTGATCTCATACTCTCAATCCAGTCACCTGGGTTCGATTCCTATCAGTAGCATAGTCAGTTATAGCCCATCCTGTGGGCCTTGTTATTGGTATTTGGACCGCCATTCTGGGCCTGTACCTCGGGCTTTTGTACGCGTTGTTCTGGGCCTAGCGCCCTACCCCCGTTCTGTATTTCCATACCCGGTTTGTGGTGGATCCGGTCCCAATAAAACCATCAAAAATAATTGATGAAGAACATAGCAAGTATTATCATAGCGTTAATTCTGCTATCACAAGCTAATCTTCAGAGACTAAAAGGTGGAAATGAAAATGTACATATGTACAATTATTTTATGGACAGCTGAGTCAATACATATGTTGATCTGTATTTGCTTCACAAATGTCAATCTCATCATAAGTAGTGAAGCTAGGTGGAAACAATGGTGGAGCATTTAGTACCTGGAAGAACAAGACCAGGAGGCAAAATTATAAGTTACACATAAACTATCATGGAACATACTGAATAACATAATGTATGTGTCCATTATGCATTATCCACAGAGTTAATACCTCCAATGGTCTTCCGAGTATTAGCGATTTACCAACTGTGGTCATCCGAGTTTTAAATGACCTCCAATAGTCCTTCATGTTTTAAAAAATAACCACCTGTGGTCCTAATTCTTTAAAAAAACCGAGTTTAAAATGACCACGAAACGTCTTAAAAGGACCACGAGTGATTATTTTTTAAAACATGGAGGACCATTGGAGGTCATTTAAAACTCGGATGACCACAGCTGGTAAATCGCTAATACTCGAAGGACCATTGGAGATATTAACTCATTACCCACAGACTAAATAATTGCACTACTTACTACTGAGCTGCCAGATGTGTATATTTGTTACTGATATATCTCCATCCAACTTACAAAATAATATAGTATACTCGGGAGTAACCCTAGCCAAGATGGCAAGAGATCCACGCTTGTAACTACAAGGTCATGAGTTCGAATCCTTGCCCCCTTTGTTTGGACCGATCAGCTATGGGTAACCTATACTGGTTTACTTCCTTGTCCTTTGCCGGCTAGGGTCACAAGGCGGAATTTACTCACACTCGAAAGGGTTGTGGGGTTTCCCAAAGTTGGCTCCTATTAACAATATATAGATGGAGTGTGCTTTATAAGTTGAACCATAAATTTGTGAATTTGGTTGTGGCAGAAATAGGCTAAATGCTTTCTACAAATCAGTGCTCAGGGAATAGAAATATAAAAATCATCTTCACCCCCACAAAGACATAATAAATGAATGTATTACTTTGATCCTTGATATCAAAAGCAATTTCATCTGTTAGAGAATATAATATATATTTTTAACAGTTAAATTCAATGCAAGGAACATAGGCATGGCGAATTATGGAAGAAACATCACAACATTATCATGGAAGGTTTAACACATTTATTGTCCAAAAGAAGTTTCATGCAATGCTTGGTTAATTAGTCCTGGGAAGAGAAACAAATTACACTAATAAGCAAACCTGTTAAGAAGATGCAGCTCTAACAGTTTTCACTATTTTGACCATAAGTTCTATTATAATCCAAGAGCATTCGGAGTTTAGCTCCATAAGTTCCTCCTTTGAGGCATTATCTCCTGCACCCAAAATCCTTTGATTTATTAATCTGGTGTATCATGTTGCTAGAAGCAAATTTCTTGAATTTTTCTTAGTGCTGAATTCAGTATTCATTTCAAGCATGCTGGCATATTGGAACTTTAAAAGATTTAATTAAATATACCACAAGAAAAAAAAAAATGATTTTGCGGATATGCTTCTATGAAATAAATTGAATATCTCCGAACACCTCTTCAAAGAAATTTTGTCACAGTTCTGTTCACATGCATTTTATCTTTGCTCATCCTACATAAGTAATTCAAGAATTTATTTTTGAAGGAAACAGTGTTCTTACACTCAAATGTAGCCCAGCGGGATGGAGGTACTACAACACGATCTTGCTTAACCTCTGGGGCATAAAGCAAACTGAAGAGATCCGTTGCAGTGTCACTCACTTTTGATGGTTGCTGTTCAACACTGACATCACTTGGAGGAGATTCAACAATTAATTTATCCGTCATGTTACTCATGTCTACAGAACCCTGTCAAATGTATATAATAATATGTGATGTTATGCTTGTTATCATGACTCTAGGAGTCTAAAAATAAATTTATCAAATATTTAGGCAGGAGGAATATTTACATTCATAATATCTAAAAGACATTTTCATTCCCTATAGTGCCCACAGTTACCTAGGACAATTAGTGAATTTTAAAAAATTATATGGAAAATACCCAGCGAGGTCTTGTTGAAGCAACTTGAGACATTTTTGTGTCAAAAATGTCCTCCTCCAAAGAATACTTTCTTGCTTTCCTTGGAATTCTAGCTCCACCTTCTATTGGTTTGTCACAGTCTGAATGTCTTTCACTAATCATATTAATTAGTTGAACATCTTCAGAAACCCATTTTTTTTCCTCGTACCTGGCATTAAAATAGGTTTCATCATGAAAATGAAAAAAGCAAAACAAAACATAAACAATTTCATTTGCCAAAACACTTATGTATCGAAGGCGTTAAGTTTGACTCATAGATTACTTGGCTCGTATGAATTTTTCAATATCACTTCTATCACTGTCTGGTGGTAGCAATGCTTCCCAATAACTATTTGCCTTCTCATTCCCCATAGCTAGACAATAAGGCATGAACTAAAAGTTAATAATTCATCAATGCCAATGTACACACACAAGCATAATGTGTAAAAAAATGGCAGTAAATTAAACACTTCCTTTGCACTTACTGGAACAAAGGACTTGTTCCAATCCCTCATGGATCACTTATTCTCAAGTTAATCCCTTAAAGAAATATTTTTCCAATATAGTTCCTCACAATTCAACTGATTCTAAATGTCCTTAAAAAAAAAAAAAAGAATTATACACCTCCCTAGTAAAATTTTATCAAAGATATCCTTATGTTTATTTAGTATTAGCAAACTTAATTTGGATAAAACCAAATAAATCGATGAGTAATTTTTTTAAAGCAACCTATATCTCAATTCTTTATCACTTGACAACCTATACTTTGATTGTTAACAAAGAGCAACCTATATTTTCATTAGTAGTAACACATAACAAATTCCATTAGCAACCAATGTGCTCTGAAGTTACTCTCAAGTATTTTATGGAAAGAGTGCACCTTCTAACAGAATTTGTTAGTTACTGATTTTTTGAAAGTACAGATTCCAGAGTGGAAGCATATTTTTCACTTAACTGCCCAAAAAACATCATGTTATAAACACATGCTATTTAGATGGCCCAAAAATTGACCAGAATTTGTTATGTGTTACTACTAACATCTAGTGAAGGTATACATTGCTCTTTATTAATCGTCAAGGTTTACATAGTTAATTATTGAAAGGGAACACAAACTATGGGTTGAAAAAAGATACTCTAAATACTAAATAGAGAGACAAAATTTATCATATGAGGCCAAAATTGAGAATGTAAATATATGGTGCATGAATTTTAGAACTGCTTCCTTAAGGGACTAAATTGAGGATGAGCGATCAATGAGAGAGGATACTGATAAAGAATCTCCATATGGGACTAAACCAAAAATTAGTGCGACTGTGAGGGTCTGAATAGTAATTTACTCTACCAAGTAATTTATACAGCGTAATTTTATTATATGACATAAAAAGGTTTGTTAAGTTTCCAGTGAGGTCAGTTGATCCAAATTGCACCAAACTGAAATCACAAGCACACTCAACAAAATGCTTCCTATTCAGTAAGCAACTTTAACACCCATATTTCTGATATTTGAGAGCACATGCAAGTGGGAAACTAAGCACACAACAAGAGAAAAGAGAGAGAGAAAAAGAGAGTTGAGAGATACATTGCACGAATGCAATCTGATCAGGCAGCCATGTATCTAGAGTTGTAGACCTCACCTATTACATGGAAAAAAAAAAACAAAAATTGATAAACAAGTCATAATCATCTAGAATAAGCATTAGAAAGTATGAGCATTTTTCATTGCCTAGTACTTATTTTATTATATTTTGTGACAAGTACATTGTTTATAGCCACTACACATGTTGAATGTAAGAAGCATACAAATTACAGGTAAGTAGGCATCACCATCTAAAAGGATCAATCTTACAACTTAATTGAAAAGAACTTGTAAATTTAAAACCAATTCATATTTCAAAAGTTGATAGTTCTTCAATTAAAATAAATTTTTAGAAAAAGATCATTTCTATTTGAAAAATCTAACCAAATTATATGCACAGATTTAGCAACCTGCAAAATCTTCAAAAAGTTAGAGCAAATGTTCTTCCAAATACAAATTGGAATCCACCAACACACCCATTAAAAAAAAAATTAAGGAATCTGCCAACACTTTGAAAATAACATAATGAAGTAAAAAGGGAAAGAAGGTAACCTTTGAAATATGTACTCCAAGACTCCGGTGAATTCCCGAGCATTGCATGCATATGAATATTCCAAGGTTGATGCTTGCCCATTTTGGGGACCTGGTATCATATGCATGTATTAGGACAAAATAACATCACAAATAAAAGATAAAACATAAATGCAAAAAAAAAAACTGTAACTTATGCTTGTGGCATCACAGATCATGCATCACAGTTGAAAGTGTTGTTTGAAATTGTACCTGTCCCGACAATCAGCACATTCCATATTTTCTGGAAGCGTGAGAAGTTCCTCTAGTATCTGCAAAAGCAGTTTTTGGGACCATTAGAAATGACTGATTGAACATCATTTACAATGTCCAAAGAAAAAGTAATAAAAGGTATCCTTCATTTGTAACAGAGAGATTAAACATGTGTATATTTCCTGCAGTTGCCAATTCTTCTTCAGAAAAGATTAAACATGCGTAGATTTCCTGCATTGAACATTTCTTCTTCAGCAAATACTTCAGCAATCTTCTTAAGTTTTATATGCTGGTATTCACTGAAGCTGCACCCTTTTTTACAATCAGAAAAATTTTATAAAGATAGTGATCATATACATTGGTATCTGTCACTCTATGATAGTGCTCTACTTAATTTGATTTGGATTTTAAGGGGACTAAAGGAGATGAAAAGAAAGGGGAAATGGAAACTGTGAGGAAAGAGTAAGTAGTTACTTCGTAGCAATCTGACAAAATAAAGTGGCAAGATCTTCTCCACAAGTATTGCACCGTTTGATTCTTGTCCATCTTTGATATAAAAATATAATTTACAGTTCTTACAGGAAATTTTACATTCAGTTTATAATTTTGAGATACACTTGAAAGGGTAGATTCCTTAAAGCATTTAGTAATCTCCTGCAACTTAGTGGACAAAGCCTAGGTCAATGTCCTTGGTGGAGATACCTCAAGGTTGCTGTATAGTCTATAATTCTGTATTCTGCATTCCATTCTGAAGCTAGCATGACACTTAAATTTACTCTGAAGTGATAGTAAGCTTTGGCATTCAACTCTTCAAGAGTACAAATCAGGAAAAGCTTGACAGTTGACTATTTTCTTCTTCTCTTTTGGGTGAAAAACATGACTAACAAAAAGCATGTATATAGTACAACTTGTAGTTCATTGATGCAACGGGGTTTGTTGTCTAAGCCTGCAAACTTCAGTAGAGATCACAAAAAACTTTCTCAAGTGTAGATACTTGATCAGCTTCTCATGTTAATTTTATCAACTAGCCCAAATCCCCAAGCCACGCCACCACCCGAACCATGCCTGTGTTACGCAGTTAGACTCATTTGCTAAAGTTTTTCAGTAAGAAACAGTAATTCTATACAAAACCAGGGTGAAAGCCTGATAGTGGCCAGTTTGTCATCTCAAATTCAAAGATATCTAGACCAGCCTAGTGAATACTAAAGATTGATGAATTAAATGATCTAAATTCAGGATTGAATTGATTTTATCTCAAAGATTTCTACAGCCAAGCTTCTTTGTTCTTCTCAAAAAAAGTGATTCATGACAGTCAATGCCACAGAACTTTGGAAAATCTTTATGAATATTGGCATTAGTATGCCATCCCTTCCTTTTCTCGTGTGTTCTTCCATTAAGGATCTCAAATTACTCTTATATCATCATAAAGCAATACCATGGCTAAATCTCTTGAAATGCTTTAACACCGTATAGATTCCAATAAACCAAATAAGTATATTCTCGGGTGGTTACCCCTGATTATCAACTAATATTTTCAACTATCTACTTTGAGAATAACAATTTTCATAATTTTCGTCAATAATAAGAATTTTACAAGCTAACTACAAATTCCCATCTAAACTAAACTATCATTTCTTTTTGGTAATTAGACCCAATTACATACTACTAGTTTCTCCTACTAATTAGACCCAACTTACACTCTATAATCAAAATTTTGACAATCTCCGTCTACAATAAAAAATTTTCTAGCTTGATTTCGCTGGCAATGAATAAAGAATTGCAATAAAATTAATCCCAAAAAAAAAAACAAAACAAAACAAAACAAAACAAAAAAAAAAAAAAAAAAAAAAAAAAAAAAAAGAGGAAGGCTTCGTACCTTTGTGTGTTCAGCATCTAGTTCCCTGGAAACGGTAGCCTTCTCGTTCATGATTAGAGCTTCTTCGAAAACAATAGAAAATCGATAAGAAATTGAGAAGGAAAGAAAGAGAGAGAGAGAGAGAGAAAGTTGGGGATTGGTCTCTTTTTCTCTTCGTCCTCTTTCTCTCTCTCTCTCTCTCCCTCTCTCTCTCTCTGGATCAAAAAACTCTATGCGATAAAAATCGAAGAATGCTGGGTGGCTCTAAGAATCAATGACCGATTCAATGGCGGAAGCCATGGAAGATGTCCTAAAATGGCGGGTGTAATTTATAATGCCCGAACGCCTGAATGAGTATTGCGCGGGGCTTTCAAATTTATTGATTTTGTTGATAATACTTTATGCATTAAACGTTGTACTCTGTGTATGATTTATTAATGGAAAAATGACTCCATTAATTATACTGGTAGACTCAATCCATAAACTCACCGTATACAAATTTTTTTTTTTAATTATGTGTAAAGTGACAATTTTAACCATTATTAACAAATTATTATGTTAATTTTTTTGAATGCAAATTATTATGTTAATATTAGCCATACATTTTAAATTTTCAAATTATTGAACAACATATTCGTTATATATTATTTATATCATTTTGTATTAATTAATCGCTGACCTATTTTTTGCATTGGAATGTAGCTAAAACTTAAAAAAAATTGATTTATAAGTTCACTAATATTACTAGTTAAAATAAATATTATGAATTTAAGTAATTTGTTGTTATTGTGAAATAATAGAACAATATAGAGAATATGGAGAGAATGGAGAAAATTTTGTAATGATAATTTCAATATGTACATCATGTTATATATTACAAATGAAATATATGATCCTATATATAGGAAATAAACTGGAAAAGTCATGAAATAATGACCATCAATATGTATGCATGTATGTATGTGTATATATATATATATATATATATATATATATATATATATATATATATATATATATAAAACTGATAAGTGCCAAAGATACTATGTTTTATAGGGTATTTAGGAGGCATATTGTGCTATATTTGGAGTCCTTTAAGCCTAATTCATGCTTAAATAGCTTAATTCGAATATTCGATAGAACTTAGGATTAAGGACTAATTATGTTTGCCTTTGTAGAAAATAGCAAAACATTGTCATTTTCAGGACATTCCGGTGACAGTTCGGTAGAATGATCATATTTTGAGCTAGGAGTGTCGAAATTGGGTGATTCAAGTGGCTATAGTTCGAAAACTTCAAGGATTACAACTTTGCAGAAGACAAGAAGGGAAAATTCCTATGCACACGCGTTGTGAAGTGCGTTGTTGGGAAACAGAAAGTACAACGAAAATCACAACGCGCGTTGTGAAGTTAGTTGTGCGAACAGCGCGGAAATTCCAAATTTTCAGCCTATTTAAAGGCTTGTAAGGGGATTATTTCGAGGGCAGACTTTTTCCATCATTTTACACTTTCATTTTAGCTCTCTTAGATTAGATTAGGGTTTAGGTTAGATTTCCATTTCATATTCTAGATTAGATTTCATTTTCTTCTCTAGAATTCATTGCTTCATGTATTACAACACTACAGATTGATGACTTGGGTAACATTTCTTCTCCTTGTTCATATTTCATATCTAATTTGTGTTTGTGATTCTTTGATGATGATGAATTGCTAGACATCTAGGATTTGGATTGATATTGGATTTAGATTGTGCTTTTATGCTTTGAATGGATGAATGATGAGATTTGATGTTTGAATGGCTTGTATGTCTATGTTGTAGAGGTGTGCATATAGATATTCTTTCCATTGTAGGATCCTAATGAGAGAGGAGTGTGAGAGTGGGAAAGGAGCAAGATATTGCCCTTGTCCTTAGTCTTACCCTTACAATCTCCGATAGTTCGGGGAGGAGACGATAAAATGCCTCACCCGGCGTAGGGATTGAGAGACTAAGTCCTATGCAGCTTAGTATTAGGTGCCTTGGTTCTCCCTTAGCCTAGCCTACTAATTGTAGCAAAAATAAGATGTGAGCTCGGGTGTGTAATGTCGTCCTCAGGGAATTGGGGGATATGATACGCAATATGCAATCACAATAAACTAGGCACTAGCATAAGGAAATCAACAAGAAGCTAAGCAAACTACAAGTTTAAAGAAATGATAAGACTAACACATATACACAAAGATAAACACAAAATAAAGAAATATGACTCAAGCTAGGGAGCATTATCATCTAGATGCTTTAACAACCTAAGGGATTACGGAGAACAAGTAATCAAGGAAACAAGCAGGAATGCACGTAGGTATCCTAGTCTACGAACCATTCTCGTGATTAATAAACAAGGATTGGAACAAGGAATTGCCCCACTTTCGTGGTGAATCAATTCCAAGTCCATCAAGCACACAAAGCATCTAAAACCCTCAATTTCCCCTATTTTCGTAGGAAGAAATCGGGTCTATGCAAGGGGTCGCTTGGATTCATCACCCAACTCTCGTTGAGGCAAGGAATCCTCCAAAAACAAGCTAATGAATGTGTACATCAAACATTAACAAGATATAAATACAAAACCTTCACAAACACATGAACCCTAGGTTGGAGTTCTTCCCCTTTTTTTGCAATAATCACAAATCAAGCATAAAGATAGAAAATACAACCCTAACTCGATTCCATAAACTAACTACTCATGATTAAATAGCATAAAGAACATAAAACCATAAGATAAATCTTGCAAAAGAAAGAGATAAAAGGAAGGAAAGCTTCTCTATTGAAAGTGGATGGTGGAATCTTGAATGTTGGAATCCAAGCTTCAAATCTAAGATTACAAGCTTCAAAAGTGTTAAGAAACGTAAATCTAAGCCTAATCTAACCAAAAAATATGAAGGGAAGTAAATGAGAGAAGCTAGGGCTCAACCATGGGTCAAAACCAAGTTGAAATGACACAAAAATGCGTCTAAATAGAGCAGAGCACAGTGGGATGCCCTCAGGGATGGGCGTACGCCAGGCAGTACCATTTTTGGTGCATTTCCAGTGAACACTGGAATGGACGTACTGGCATGCGTACGGGCGTATGGCAGGGCATACGCCACCTGCTTCCTTTTTCAGATCTAGGATGGGATGAGGGATGGGCGTACGCAAGGGGGTACGAGGCTCCTGAAAATTCCTAAATGCATTCCAAACTCTTTGATTGATCTCTTGATCCAAAAATTGCTCGTATCTTCCCACAAATCATTGTATTCCTCACTTGTTGTGAATGATTGCACCTTGAAATAAAACCAACATAAATTAGTCACAATTCACACAAGTGTTTAGGCAATTTACAAATAAAATGGGTTCAAGAATGGGCAAAAATATAGACAAAAATGCACTTATCACCTACCCTTGCATCTCGTTCTTGTCTACCTATAGACCAATGAATGCATAATCACAAATCCTTTCCATCCAAATCCCCGTTTTAACTTCTTGCTTGTTTTCCTTTATTTTATTTGTTTCCCTTACTTTCACACACATGCTCACGTACCTTCCTCTTGCACCTAATTCACTCTTGTTGAGACATTGTGCCGATAGATTGCCTAGCACTTTACTTACTTCGAACGGCCATCCTTGAGTTCGACACTTGGGAGTTCCACATTCCCGTTTACACTTACACACACTTAAATCCATCCCACGTATACATACAACTATCAATAAAACTCCCCCTTAGCCATTATCTTACTACATTCAGGCCTCGTTAAAAACCTCACTAGAAAAATTCAATGGGGAAAACCTAGACGAGGAAAAAGAGTACATGAAGTGGGTTAAACTATATGTTGCACCGGCTGCCTCATTAAAAACTTTAGTACAGTTAAGAAAACCAATCGAGAAAAAAAATTGTGTTAGTGTTGAAGGCTAAACCCCAACTTGTAATTGGTTGAATTATTATGACAAAAATTAGATAGGTTTTAGTTTAGGTGTCTGTCAGAGTTTGAAGAGAAGACCTGATTGATCAGACACTACGCCAGAGCGTCTTGGAATCTATCTGTTAGACTTCATCGAGTTATTTGTGATGATATGGTAGAGTAGTTACTTCAAGAGGTGACTTTACAAGAAAGTCCTTATTATCTCTTCACCTCAAAGGGTAAGACAATAATCTATTACACGGACATTCAATTAAGATTACTGGTCTACCTCTTTTGAATCAGAGTTTATATATAAAGGGAGATAATTGAAGATTTATCTACAATACTACTTCAAAGAATTCCATACGTGAATCACTAACATTCTCTCCCCATACTTTACAAGTTATACTCTAATTCATCTTCTTCTCAAGACACATGTTCTGAAGCTTTACGAAGAAGAACTTGAGAAGAAATCTAGTTTTGTATAAGTAACTGATTACCTAGTTTTGTATTCTCTAGTTCATTTCAATTACTGCAGTTACACAATATTAACATATTAACATTTGATAACCATGTATTATATTCACAAATTGTCTTCTACACCTGTTATGTGTTTTAACTTAGAAATACAATTTATATTCTAGAAGTTCATAATTCCAATACTAAATATACACAATTTATACATTGCTTAGGACTAGAGTCCACCTTGCAAGGTGGACACTGGTTGATGGTATAACAACTCTTACTAAATAGACTACGCCAAGGTCTAAACTAGGCCAAGTCGTAGGCCCCTTAATAGAGACCTATTATATTTCCACCCCTAAACACTAACCGGTCGTTTGGTTGGAAGGAAGGAATTATGGGTGATGGATACCCAGTATGGGCACCCAGTCGGACTTAGCAATGGGCACTCAGCACTCGAATCATGACCAGCTAGTCTTGGCAAGCAGTCATCCTTGGTGAAGAGTCATCCTTGGTAACCAGTCATCCTTGGCGGTGGAAGAAGGAATTATATGGCAATCTCGGGACTAGAATGAGTACCTAATCGACACTACTAAGCGTCAGTCGGACCTAGCACTCGGATCCTGACCAGTCAGTCTGAGCAGGCAGTCATCCTTGGTAGCAAGTCATCCTTGGTGGTGGAAGAAAGAATTATATGGCAATCCGAGATTAGGCAAGTCAACCCACATAAATTACCTTCCTAAATACTATTTTCCACCTTATATCATCTCTCATTACCTAAATATCTTTATATTCCGACACAAGTGGCAAATAGGCCCATCTACTACTTCGATGTGCTCAATTCTCCCGATCAACTAAAACATAATGTAATTAGGCATACTTACCTCTAAAAATTTATCGATTAGCTTTTTTTCCAGGTTCCCTCTAGGTTGC